CATGTTGACCAGGATGGTCTCGATCTCTTGACCTCGTGATCCACCCGCCTCGGCCTCCCAAAGTGCTGGGATTACAGGCTTGAGCCACCGCGCCCGGCAAGTGTTATGTCTTAAAACAATATCTGCAGTTTTAAAATAATACTCTGGCTGACATACAGGTACATACACTCAAGTTTATAAGGTCTTCCAACTAAGCTTGATTTGTGGCCAAAAGTTACTGAGGTTTTAAAAAAAGGAATAAGCAAGCCCTTTTTCTGGCTTATAAGTAATCTTCAAAGTGGGCATATGTCTCACAACATGTACACTTTGCTAGTCAATTGCTTACTCCACAACGGGTTAATTATGCAACATGTGTTATTTTAACCCTGCATGAAAGTCAAAGAATCATTCATTTGTAGTAAATACTTAAACCACTGCATGAAAATCATGGCACACTAGGTAAGAAAGCTGAAAATTAAGCTAAGCTCAGCACTCAGACTCTGCTGATGTAATCATCTGATCAAGTTATCTAAACCATCAAAACGTGTGTATATAAACGTACATCTTAAATGAAAAACTATCTGGGAGGGGAATAAAAACTTGTACAAGATTTCAGTATGAATAAGAAGTCAGGGAATGGAATTTGGTGGTGGGGATAGTTTAATTGAGCACAGAATAATATATATGGGAAGTCCAAAGTGAAGAATGTCTATAACTGATTGAATGAAAATTTTAACTATACTTCACTTACTAAAAGAGCATTACAAATCTCTACTGGCTAGCAAGCGCAAAGGCCAGCCTGAAAGAACCTAAAACAGCTGCACTAAAGGAAATTCTGTGCAGTTTCTTTTTTCTTTCCAGGAACTTTTAAAATAATGTATATGGCAGAAGTTTACATGTAGTTCTTTATGTTTTCTTTGCCTGTTGGAGGGACAGGAAGAAGAGAATATGGTATGACCAGGAGAAACTGCAGTATTAAGAGCTCAAGGCCAACTCTGGAAGCAAATTTAAATGGGGCTCAGGGTTTTCTTAACTTTCACACTTTCTATATACTTTTGGGATATGGAAAAAGACATTGGAAATAATCTAGTCCAACCTCCTTGAGGTAGTTAATAGTGTCAATCTGATTGGATTGAAGGACGCAAAGTATTGATCCTGGGTGTGTCTTTGAGGATGTTGCCAAAGAGTCACATTTGAGTCGGTGGGCTAGAAAAAGCAGGCCCACCCTTAATCTGGGTGGGCACCATCTAATCAGCTGCCAGAGCGCTTAGAATATAAAGCAGGCAGGAAAAAAAAAAAAAAGTCATGAAAAGACTAGACTGGCCTAGTCTCCCAGCCTACATCCTTCCCCCGTGCTGGATGCCTCCTGCCCTTAAACATCAGACTCCAAGTTCTTCCGTTTTGGGACTTGGACTGGCTCTCCTTGCTCCTCAGCTTGCAGACAACCTGCTGTGGGATCCTGTGATTGTGGGAGTTAATACTTAATAAACTCTCCTTTATATATCTATCTATCTACCTAATCAGTTCTGTCCCTCTAGAGAACTCTGACTAATACACTCTTCATTTCATATATGAGGATATTGTGGCTCATAGAACTTGAATGACTTGTCCAAACTAATGGATAAACTGATTTTATAGCCAGTGATAGTAAAAGGTCTTCAAGCTGTAAATCATTGAATAAAAATTTTTAAAAATACCAAGATAGCAAAATCAACCATTCATTTGAGTATCAAAAGCACAAGAAGACAGTTACCTGGCTGGGACAGTTTTCTTGCGCTTTTGATCTTTACTCAAATAAGTGTTTGATTTTGATCTCGATTTAAAAAAATTATCCCATGATACCTACAATTAGTAGATCTTTTTCCTATCAATGGCTCTAAAATAATTTTATCCATTAGTCTTGGACAAGTCATTCAAACTCTATGGGCCTGAATATCCTCCTACGTGAAATGAGAAGGCAGGATGAGATTATTTCTATTATCTTTTTCCGTATGAGATGAGTTAAATGGCCGGTTCTCATTTAATGTCAGCTTTCTTTTTCACACTATTAGTAACCCAGGGATTGCTGAGCCTGTATCAATTTCTAGATTGGTAAGGCCATGTTAACAATATACCAACCAGAGGCCAGAAAACCAATATCAGATGAAAATTATACTTGGATAATTTTCATTATACACAATGACTTAAAGCTAAGAAGACCAGCCATAAGTCATTATGCTGCATGCACAAAATCATTCTACAATTTCAGCTTAAGTATTCAAGGCAATATGCAGTTTAATAAAATGACTTTCTTCTTTTTCATTTATTTTTTACTTCGTATGACTTGCCACCTAATGAAGCTAGTTACAATAAAATAAACTTTATCAAATCTAGCTTAAACATCCAAGGGAAAGCTTTGTAGTGAAGTCATATTCTGAAGTGTTTAAAGTCTAAAGGGAGATAAGTTGTGATAACACAGAAAGTTCCTAAAATGAATGGACTTCTCATGAAGTAAGTGAACTTGTTACTGATTAAGCCAAGGCATTGGTGAAGAGCTATACGGGTCGTCAGCCCTGAAAAATACAATTAGTAGACCTCTTAATATCAAGTGAACAGTAGCCACCACAAGCCAGTTATCTCTCCCAAGGAAAGAGGTTTTATGATAATTTTACATTCTGTTTGGAGAGGAAAGGGAAGACATCTCTGCCTTCAATTAATGGAAGACACTGTCTGCATCATATCCTTTCCTCTTCTGTAGTCAAAATCTTTAGAACACATACAAATTTATGAGTTATCCTTAAAAAAACTAGATAAAGCTAAACAGTATGTATATTAATCATAAGCCAAATTTTGAATGGAATCTATTAATTAATTTTTCTGTGAAGTAATGTTTATAAACAATACAAACAATAAATGGATAACCAGTGGAGTGGAAGGACAAAATATACAGCAATGCTGCCGACTGCAAATAAGGAATTACAACAACTGTGTAAAATCCTCAGTGACAAGGAGAGTTAAAAAACTGTAAGCAGGCCGGGCGCGGTGGCTCAAGCCTGTAATCCCAGCACTTTGGGAGGCCGAGGCGGGTGGATCACGAGGTCAAGAGATCGAGACCATCCTGGTCAACATG